ACGCATAGCAGAGCAATAGGGGGGAATGGTGGTGTCTGAAGCAGGCATCGTGACTTCTCTCATTGCTTGGTTGCTGAACCCGGCAAGTCATCCTGATCATTTGATCGAGGGATGACGATCAATCATTCATTAAAGTGGAATGGCCCACCAGAACGGGATATCCGTGTACGGGGAGACCGAGCTGCTGGATCAGATTGGAACCGACGCTGCTGCAACAGCGGTCAGAACAGCTCCATCAGCGACCCTGACGGGCAATCCCCTATATTGACCACAGTGAATCAGAGGACTGTTTTTACGGAAAATGAATCCTCGGATGTCTAAGCCGTTCTAATCAGAGAACGATGGGTAATGGTGGTGCAAGAGGTAGCGTGCAAAAAGCAGGGTAGAGCTCTCCCCGGCTTGTAGCTCCGAAGGCTTCCATGGAATGGAACCCTCCAATAACGGTCTCGGCATCGAAGTGGTGGTGTAATTAATCTGCCCTCGCAGCATGGAACCGTCCCCACGGCATCCGCGACCCCATCCTGCAGCAAGATAAGAATACAGTACTTTTGGTGGGATCCGGGACTTGAAGGGCTGCCTTGCTGCGTCGGCCCCGATTTTCATGGGGTCATTCATCCTTCTAGATTTTCTCCCCAGTGCGCCGGTGATCTTCCCCACGCTTTGGGCGGGTTTGAGAATAAGCAAGTATGGCACATGAGAGGTTCATCATTCATAATCCCAAATGTCGGTGGCCTCAAAATTCGCCGATAGGTTATGCCGGTCTCCCCCCTTTCTCTGCTGGCGGTTCTGAGTTGCCGGTTGTTCCCCCAGAACTCCCATACTGCCATACTCCGCACCCCCGTAATTGACCCAGGGAGGGCGTAAGGGTGGTACTTTTGCCACTATCGCACGAAGCTTCCGAATAATGACAACCCGGGATGGTACCATCATGGATGACTCCGACGGCATATCATTGTCCAACGATCGGAGCATTCCAGGATGCAGATTCCTCCAGATCTGCCAAGCTCGCCCTGCCTCCCCATATTCGAACCCTTTCTTCTTTTGACCTTTCGCCCCCTTACACAAATAGCATTCGATCCATTCTTTTATTGCGAGACAGAAGTCCAGTGGCAGCCGTATGTTGCAAGACAGGGGTGGGAGCCAAGACCAGGAGTCGGGGGAATGGGGAATGGCGGGAGAATCCCAACATTGACCGAAGGAGAGAAAAGAAAACAACAATTCCTTCTCTTCCGTACCGGCCAGGGTGACTTTCCTATTTGGGTAATCCGTGATAGGACCGAACACTGATCATGTGCATCGTCAGACTTTTCACGTTTGTTTATCAAATAAGGTGCGCAGAGAACAGCTGTCGCGATCCTGCAGGCAGTCTAGACTGCACCGACCGTCTAGATGGGTGACCTTCGTTTCATCTCTGCACAACTGGCCATCTGCCTGGACAAAATTCAGACCTCCGGCATCTCCATTCGATACTAATTATGCATGTAAGCATGAACTAGCATGTCAGCAGGGATTAGTGCTTGATTATGTCTATTCAATGAGACCAGAGAGTTTGCCCATCCGGAAGCATATCTGCGAGTCTATTGATTGATTGGAAGCCCCGTGGAGTAGATTGTAGCATCCTGTCAATGCGGCAAGATCGGTTATTGTTAATTGATCATTTGGAGATCCCTTCAGTCTAGACAAAATCTTCAGGCCCAACCACACTCGGACGGTGACCATAACTGCAGGAAATTGGGCGTCGTTGCTTGGGAGAAAAAAGACGCGTGGAAGTAAGTACGTATATGTTTACGCACCGGCGAGAAAGGAAAGCAGATCTCGCCCGAGGTCACGTTCCTCCTGGCAGAGCACATGGGCCTAGAACAGAACTCATTACAGACAGAAGTCTATCCATAGCCAATCTCCTACACCGTAAAGTCATGCTATTCATAAATCATAACGTGACATGACAGTCATATCTGTCTTCGCTGCTCAATAGCCAGCCACGGCTCGACCGATTCAATGCAATGTGCCAGCAATGATCAGCCTGCTAATTATGCTATTTCACCGAGAGTACCTGCAGCAGTGACTCCAAGTCCCATGCCTCCATTAGCATTGCCAAAGTCCAGCTTCATGAGCAGACGGTCAACACCAGCTGCTTTCCGAGGCACGTAGTGGATGGAAGCAGACTCGGTCGCTGAGCCATTAGCTTGGAGCGACCCATGTTCGCGGGAGTCCTTCACAAATTCAAGCATCTGCCGCCCTTCTCCAGATCGGCTGTCATCAATGTCTCGCAGTCGTGCCACGGCGTCCTTAATTCCTGCTTCGACACTAGCTCGCGCAACACTGAGTGATTGCCATATCTCCCTCTCTTCCCCTGCATAGTCTACTAAAGCATCAACAACGCCCTCATCGGTCTCGAGGTCCATGTTGCGCTGGATGCTTTCCAATCGAACTACTAGTGCAATAAAGTGTTCCACGCTCGTCAGTAAGGATCGGAGGGCTTTAGAAAAGGGTATGTCCGTGAGGAAAAGAGATTCAACAAGAGAAAAGAGATAACGACGATGCGCCGCGGTCAATGTTTCAGGGTCATGCCGTTGGACCATCTGACTATCAATTCCGGAACCAGATTCGGCCGGGTCGTTCATGGCCTGAAAATGGTCGGTGCGCTTACTATTAGCGGAGGACGCGGTTCCAGGTCGTGAGCCCGTTGTTGGGGATCCACCTTCGATCCATTCTCGAAAGTGTTGCCAGTTGCCATTGAGAACTTCTCCCTGGAAGTAGCTCCCTAGTTCTGATAGAACAAAGAGGGAGGCACTGCTCGTTGCCCAGACTGGCCTCATCTGCCGAGTCCTGATGTTGTCTCTTTGTCTGCCGAGCTTTAGTCTACTCTGGCCGTAAGGAGTACTGCTGCGAGGTGGACCCCACGGGGATGGATGGATCTTTCGAAGGAAGGTATGCTTCCACAAGTCGCCCAAATGCATCTGGGCGCGTCGGATACCAAGAATGTAAGAGTGAATCTTCGAGTAGACTGATATATCAGAGGCGGACAGAAACAAATCGAGAGGCGAGCGGACGTGGACCGAGAGACATGTTGGAGTGGGGAAAAGAAGATCGTCAAAGGCGACGTCCGAGATTCTAGCATTCATCTCAGACCCAGCAAGATCGGGAGACAGTGCTGGGATATTGTCAACATCCTGTTTGATCGACAGCCGAAGCAGCTCTTTTGCAAGATCAAGCTCATCGTCTGCGGGATCTTCTTCGGTTTGCAGCGAGTAGAGCTCTGAGAGCGTCTGTGACAGAGCAGTCACTACATCTCCTTCCTTAATAGAAAGCCCCCTAAGATCTTCTGATGGGTTATGTCTAGAGGCTGAATGCCCGTGTTTCCGATACCTCTCTTGAATGCGTGTATCCGCATGAGATACCAAAGCCGTTGCAAATTCGCCCCGCCGGAGTAATAGAAAATCGTGGAGAACTGAGAGGACTTCGAGAATCTTGGGTAGTGGGAAAATTTTGGAGAGCGTGCTTTGGGACAGAGAGAACCGGATGGCATTCACGGCACTCGACAGTCTCGACGCTGATATAGGTGATTTCAATGCAGCAAGCTGTTCTATATGTTCCGTGTGTAGTGTGACGGAAGTAGTCGATAAGCCCGCAGAGAGGTTCGCAGCAGGTGCATTGCGCTTTGCTCTAATGAGATTCAACGTTTTGCCGATGAACAAGATGGATGAGGCTGTATGAGCTGTTACAAACTGGGGCAGGAGCTCTGGATGCACGACGAATTGCGTGGCAGCGGGCGGTTGATCATAGCTTGCATTATCGCGTTGTATGAAGAAGTCGGATCCGCCGAGAATGGGGAGATTTCCGTACAGCAACCAGGGGGACAACTGCCTCATCCAAGCAGTCTCTGCGATACCAACCAAATGCAAGGCCATGTCTTTCAGGTCAACGTACCCTGTTCGCGTTTCCGCCCGAAGGTGGTCGATCAGAGCCACGCCAGTGCAAAGCTGGTCTATATTCCGGGAGTCTATGGGCCATATCAACCTAACCGTCTCCCACAGCCATTCCAATCGTCGCGTCCATGGAGAAAATTCGCTAACAATCGTCGACAATGGCACGATTCCGTAACCGCCTACATAACCACTATCCTCTACCAGAATCGATTTCTCCACTTCTAAGATTTTCCTTTGGAATTCGCCCAGATGACGTGAACTTATGGCCGTCGAGACTGCGCGACAAATAACAGAAGGGTGGGAGGAGGAGATTGAGGCGGTATGTGTTCGTAGTTCGGTATGGAGACGGCTCAGACGGGCAAGAGAGGCGAGGAGGGCTTTCTCCGGAGGGGAAACCAAGGGAAAGGCATCTTCAGAGATAGCACTTCCTTCAGTCTCTGGATTGAAAAGAGGTGATGGTTGACCCGAGAGGGAGAGGAGGATCTCGTGGAGCATTGTGCGCGGATTTCTCTGGAGACGATAAAGTCAGATATCTAGACAGGCCCAGAAGCACCAGAGTAAAGAACGAACCTTAAGGAATGATCCTTATCTTTTCTGGATTTATGACGCTGCCAGTATAGAAGTCCACATCCAAGAAGTTCGTATCGACACATGTGAAGAAGTTACCCTACAATAAGCCTCTCTTGGAAATAAGGCACGGGTCACCGCGTTGTTCGACGCAGTAAAGCCGCGGCGCGTCGCGAAAGAGGTGCGGCGTAGAAAAGATGGCTGAGGATTGAGTCTCGTTGACTGTCAGACATCAATGTTGGACAGGATTGAGGCCAGGCTTTATCCGGGACCGATAATCATATGGATCCGAGCGCCTCCGCCGAAGATGCCTCATCACCGCCGCTTCAGCTGCTTTGGAGCTCATTGTCACTGACTGAATGGGAGTTGCCGACTCGCTGCTGGGCGTGTCCGCGGGGCTCCAGCCAATGAGTGGCGGTAAATCCGCTGAGTCAGCCGCCGACAGCTTGTCCCTCTCTCTTACGTCGCCGCTGAGAGAGCTCGCTGCATTAGTGATCCATCTTTCTTCCTTCTTCCCCGCCTCTCCTCACCCTTGTCTATATTATATACTGCGATACCTGCGCCTTTTCTTTCATTCTGCTTCTAAAAGTCTTGCTCTTGCTCTAGAGTATATTGTCCGTCTGTACTTTGCTATCGCTTTCGTCTCATCTCGCCTTGCCCGCTTCCGCGTACCTCACCGCTCCTACCCCTCCTACCTGACTCTCTACATCAGGAGTATACTGCCTGAAAGTCTTGCTCCCAGCGGCAAGACTTTCATCTCAAGTTTTCACAATTCCCACCGAAATTCCCGTTCGCGACGCTGCGAAGCTGGGAAAGCGAAGAGCGTCTGCCGACAACAAAGCTCCGCCGGAGAAGAAGATCATGACTGTATGTATGCCCCATCACCCCGGTGATGCCAAAACAACTTCTTTGGTCCATCTTCCGTTACTGACCAGATTTAGGACGCCAAGATGCAAGTTGACAACCCACAGGAGACTGTGGAGGCGATCAAGCAGGGAGAAATCGATGAGTCGTTGTACAGCCGGCAACTGTAGGTGTTCCATCCCCATATCCGTTGCCACTACGAGACAGATACTGATGGGTTGTGATGTGTTCAGGTATGTCCTCGGTCATGAAGCTATGAAGCGTATGGGCTCTTCAAACGTGCTTGTCGTCGGATTGAAGGGTCTGGGTGTCGAAATCGGTGGGTACAACATCTTGCGTATCATCTGAACAACTTATTGATTGCTACCAGCCAAGAACATCGCCCTTGCCGGTGTGAAATCCCTCACATTGTACGATCCTGCCCCTGTCGCCATCTCCGACCTGTCCTCCCAGTTCTTCCTCCAGCCCCAAGACGTCGGTAAGCCGCGTGCCGAGGTCACAGCTCCCAGAGTTGCAGAGCTCAACTCCTACGTTCCCGTCACTGTCCACGAGGGCAGCAATATCGCAGAGAACCTCGAACAGTTGAAGCGTTACCAGGCCATTGTCCTCACCTTGACTCCTCTGAAGGAGCAGCTCGCGATTGCCGACTTCTGCCACAAGAACGGCATCTACCTTACTATCACGGATACCTTCGGTCTCTTTGGCTATCTCTTCAACGACTTTGGAAAGAACTTCACTGTCGGTGATGCGACAGGTGAGGAGCCCGTCAGTGGCATTGTGGCAGCTATCGACGAGAATGGCTTGGTCTCCGCTCTGGATGAGACCCGTCACGGCTTGGAGGACGGTGATTTTGTGACTTTCTCCGAAATCAAGGGCATGGAGGGTCTCAACGGTTGTGCTCCTCGCAAAGTTACTGTGAAGGGACCTTACACCTTCTCTATTGGTGATGTCTCTGATCTGGGAACATACCAGAGCGGTGGCATCTACTCTCAAGTCAAGATGCCTAAGTTCATGGACTTTGCTCCTCTGAGCGAACAGATCAAGAACCCCGAGTTCATCATTTCCGACTTTGCGAAGTTTGACCGGCCACAGCAATTGCATATTGGTGTCCAGGCACTTCACAAGTTTGCAGAGAGCCACAATGGCGATCTTCCCCGCCCCCACAATGATAGCGATGCCCAGGACGTGTTCAAGATTGCCAATGAACTGGCTTCAAGCCTCAAAGAGAAGGTGGAGCTGGATGAGAAGCTCATCAAGGAGCTGAGCTACCAAGCCCGTGGCGATCTGAACCCCCTGGCTGCCCTGTTCGGAGGCATTGCGGCGCAGGAGGTCTTGAAGGCGGTCTCCGGGAAGTTCAACCCTGTAAAACAGTGGCTTTACTTTGACTCCTTGGAGTCTCTTCCCACTTCTATCACCCGCTCTGAGGAGGCTTGTAAGCCCCTCGGCACCCGTTACGATGGTCAAATCGCAGTCTTCGGCAAGGAGTTCCAGGACAAGATTGCCAACGTGAAGCAATTCCTTGTGGGAGCAGGTGCCATCGGGTGTGAGACGCTGAAGAACTGGGCCATGATGGGTCTGGGAACTGGCCCTGAGGGAAAGATCATTGTGACCGACATGGATCAGATCGAGAAGAGTAACCTGAACAGACAATTCTTGTTCCGTAGCCGGGATGTTGGCAAGCTCAAGAGCGAGTGCGCTTCCGCTGCTGTGCAGGCAATGAACCCTGAGCTGAATGGTAAGATTGTCACGCTCCGGGACCGTGTCGGACCCGACACTGAGCACATCTTCAACGAGGAGTTCTGGGAAGGCTTGGACGGCGTTACGAATGCCCTTGACAACGTGGATGCAAGAACCTACGTCGACCGTCGTTGCGTCTTCTTCAGGAAGCCCCTCTTGGAGAGTGGAACTCTCGGTACAAAGGGCAACACTCAGGTTGTCCTGCCTCGCATCACTGAGTCCTACTCTAGCTCCCAAGACCCGCCGGAGAAGACCTTCCCTATGTGCACTCTGAAGAGTTTCCCCAACCGGATCGAGCATACTATTGCTTGGGCCCGGGACCTCTTCCAGACATACTTTGTCGGCCCTCCCGAGGCTGTCAACATGTATCTGTCCCAGCCAAACTATATCCAGCAGACACTCAAGCAGGCCGGTAACGAGAAGCAGACGCTGGAGCACCTGCGTGACTTCCTGGTCACCGACAAGCCCTTGACCTTCGATGACTGTATCGTTTGGGCCCGTAACCAATTCGAGGCGCAGTACAACAACGCTATCCAGCAGCTTCTTTACAACTTCCCGCGCGACTCCAAGACATCCTCTGGGCAGCTTTTCTGGTCTGGACCTAAGCGTGCGCCTACTCCGTTGAAGTTTGACAGCGCAAACCCCACTCATCTTTCTTTCATCGTTGCTGGTGCCAACCTCCACGCTTTCAACTACGGCATCAAGAACCCTGGCGCCGACAAGGCCTACTACAGGAAGGTCGTTGACAACATGATCGTTCCCGAGTTCACCCCCAAGTCCGGCGTCAAGATTCAAGCGAATGAGAACGATCCTGACCCGGACGCTCAGGCCACTGGCTCGTCCTTTGACGACGGTCAGGAAATCCAGCGCCTCGTGGACTCTCTTCCATCCCCCAAGGACCTGGCTGGCTTCCGCTTGAGCCCTGTTGAATTTGAGAAGGATGACGACACGAACCACCACATCGACTTCATCACCGCTGCCAGCAACCTGCGTGCCGACAACTACGATATTCCCCAGGCTGACCGCCACAAGACCAAGTTCATTGCTGGCAAGATCATTCCTGCCATTGCTACTACGACGGCGTTGGTGACTGGTTTGGTCGCGTTGGAGCTGTTCAAGATCATTGACGGCAAGGACGACATTGAGCAGTACAAGAACGGATTCGTGAACCTTGCGCTTCCATTCCTGGGCTTCAGTGAGCCTATTGCCAGTCCCAAGGGCAAGTACATGGGTAAGGAGGGCGAGGTTACAATCGACCAGATCTGGGATCGCTTTGAGGTGGATGATATTCCTCTCCAGGACTTCCTCAAGCACTTCTCCGACATGGGATTGGAGATCAGCATGGTTAGCTCTGGCGTTAGTCTCCTGTACGCCAGCTTCTATGGGCCGTCTAAGGTTAAGGACCGTCTTCCTATGAAGTATGTACCCCCGGTAACCACAGAGAGTATTACAGTACTAATCGCTTATGATACAGGATGAGCAAGTTGGTGGAGCACATCAGCAAGAAGCCGGTTCCGGAGCACCAGAAGAACGTCATCTTCGAGGTGACTGCGGAGGATCAGACGGAGGAGGATGTTGAGATTCCGTATGTGATGGTGAAGCTGAGAAAGTAGAGGGGGTGACCGGCACGAGAGCAGAAAAAGGGCCCGTGACCTCTCTGGATATGTCCGTTAACGCACTAGACGCCTCAGTATAAGTAGTTTTTATCTTTTCAATTAAATTCTTCTAGGAATATACTACTGTCTATGTTCCGGGTTTTTCGAGAATAATCTTGACTAAGTAGCAATAAGCTAACTAGTTAGTGATTCCGCGAAGGATGAGGGACTGATTAATTAATTACTGTTTGTCAGCGGGAGGCTCAACTTCCCGTTAACGTAATCCACGGTTAGGTGGCCCACTACGGTTAGGTGGCCCACCCCTCTGCCTGAACGGCTTGATATCTTCAAAATAAAGCCTTTAATTTA